GTAGTTATAATCGTGTTTTTTTCTCCTTGAACAGGATGCCTCCGGTAGTCTCGTGGGGGAAGAGCAGAGGCAGTCGAATGTGAATGTAATGTGTAGAATATGTTTTGTTGGTGAAAATGAATCTAGTGAGAGAACACGGAGGATGCTTTCGTGCAAAACCTGTGGCAAAAAGTACCATCGCAGCTGCTTGAAATCCTGGGCTCAACATAGGGGTAAGGCGTGGTCACAAGTTTATTTTTAGACGAGAATTATTTTTAAACGTTTGCTATGTGCGTGTTGGCAGATCTATTTCACTGGAGTTCGTGGACTTGCCCTTCCTGCCGAGCATGCGAGGTAATAAGGAATATGCAGCATTACCATATTTTCTCTCTTTATCAGCAGCATCACTAATTTATTAGTTTCCTCGATCTCGAAGGCAATGCATTTTTATTTAATCGCCTGATGGTCTCATTATATACCCTTGATACCGAGGTTAATGCTGATTTGAATGATTTTCATCGGTTAAAGACTTGGTATTTACCTTGGTTCTTCTAGAGAAAAGAGCACATTGTCATGTGATTTATATAAGTTTTTCAATACGACCGTGTACTCAGGTATGCAGAAGAACTGGTGATCCAAATAAATTTATGTTCTGCAAAAGATGTGATGGTGCTTACCATTGTTACTGTCAGCATCCTCCTCACAAGGTAGGGAGTGTTTTTTCGCTCGAGTTTTGTATCCCAGTCAAGTAACGTGCTTAATACTGATGCGTGTGATTGAATCTGGTAGAACGTTAGTTCTGGACCTTATTTGTGTCCAAAGCATACGAGGTGCCACAGCTGTGAGTCTAATGTTCCAGGAAATGGCCAAAGTGTGAGGTATGCGGTTTATTCTCTTGGATCGTCTGCACTCTTGCTGATACTTTCTATTTTTATTTTAACATCCAAATATCAGTTGTTTTAGTTTCTCAATTTGTATCATTGAAAAAGACCCTACTTCGTCATGTTCACCTCATCATCTGTTGTTCTTACTTTTTGTTCGTGTGGTAGATTTGATGTTTTATTTTGTAAGACACCGTCTCGAATGTGCGAAGCCTTGCATTAGCTGAAGATAAGCTAGTGATAACGTAAAATGCTGTCTTCCATCACTTTCAATTACTATTTTTTCCCCTTTACAGCTCAAATACTACTTATTAGTAATCTTCTTCAAATTTGTGTGCATCATGCAATGTCATGTGTTTATTTCCTAGTAATCTTCTTCAAATTTGTGTGCATCATGCAATGTCATGTGTTTATTTCCACGGGTTGAACCGTTGAAGACGAGAAAAATTTCGTTTCTTTTGAATTTCCATGAGTTGAACTGTTGAAGACGAAAAAATCTTATGCTTGCCGTTGTAATGCAGGTGGTTTCTGGGATATACATTTTGTGATGCATGTGGTAGATTATTTGTAAAGGGGAACTACTGCCCTGTGTGTTTGAAGGTAATAAATTTTACATCAACACAATATTTTCGGATTTTAAGTTCCTTGCGGGTATCGAAACTACAATTTCTGTGGCGGGGGTGATAATAATAGTGGGTGAACTCGTGTGTTCTTTTAGGTTTATAGAGATTCCGAATCTACTCCGATGGTTTGCTGTGACGTTTGCCAGCGCTGGGTGCACTGCCATTGTGATAGTATCAGGTTTTTCCCTACCTGGTTCTTACTTTTGCACAGACCAGACTCATGAATGACCTATATATTTGCTGCCATCCATGTCATGGCTTTTTATTTTCGAAATTCTTGCTCGACTGACTCACGAATGCGTGGACAAATGTATGGAGCTAATCTTTTCTGACGTTTTAGTTCCACGTTTGACACCGAAATGATGGATAAGCCTAATTATTTATATTGGTAGTTGCTGTTGTAAACTTATGGATTGCACATCAGTTTTATACCATTGCTGCTTCCATTGGCTCCACTGTAATAGCCTACCTTACAGATGGTGTCATTGTGAGGCTTGTCTAGAATTATTCTCTTGATGTTATGCTTTGATTTCTTCATATATGGTACCGATTCGGTTTCCTGTTTCAATATATGATACCGATCTTTTAGCTTTGACGTACGAGAACTACACTTGTCTTAGCTTTGACGTACTGATCTTCCTGTTTCAATATATGATACCGATCAGTTCTTTTAAATCTTTTACAGTGATGAAAAATATTTACAGTTTCAAATAGATGGGAATCTCCAGTACAAATGCACGGCGTGTCGTGGAGAATGTTATCAGGTTTTCTTAACGCCAACCTTCTTCCCCGCCCCCCGGTGTAGACACTTACGGTTTTGATTTAAATTGTTCTCGAGGCCCTTCAACTTTTTTTTTTTTTTTTTTTTTTTCAGGTAAAGAATCTAGACGATGCCGTTCAAGAGATTTGGAGAAGAAAGGATGAAGCGGATCGTGATCTAATTGTTAGCTTGAGGGCTGCTGCTGGATTACCCACTCAAGAAGAAATATTTTCCATTTCACCTTATTCAGACGACGAAGAAAACGGTCCTGCGGTTAGTAAGAACGAGTTTGGACGTTCATTCAAACTATCTCTGAAGGGGTTAGTTGACAAAACACCCAAAAAGAGCAAGGATTATGGGAAAAAATCATCGAATAAAAAATACGCGAAAGAAAAATCTTCTCGGACTCCTTTGGCTAATCAATCTGAAGTAGATCAGAGTTTGGAAGGGCGTAATGAGAAGACTGGTGGTTTGCAACCCGAAAATAATGAAGGACCTGACTCGTATTCTTCACCGGTTGCTGGGAGTGTTAGCCACAATGAAGGGATGTGCTCGATTAATCAACCAGGGGTGTTAAAACACAAGTTTGTGGAGGAGGTGATGGTAAGTGATGAAGAAAGGACCTCAAAAGTCGTTCAAATCAAGGCGAGGAAGGGTGACGGTGTCGATACTGGAGAAGATTCAGGAAAATATGCGAGTAAGTCGAAGACGGCTAAAGGAAAGAAGCTAGTAATAAACTTAGGCGCACGGAAAATTAACGTTGCTACTTCCCCGAAGTTTGATGCTTCAAGTTGCCAAGGAGAACAAGATTTGGTGTCCTCAAATGGTATGGTTTTCTTCTTTTAGATTCTACTGTTCAAGATCTAATTTGTATTTCTCTTCTATGTATAGGAGACAAAGTCGATAACTCCAGCCAATCAACACGACCGAAAGCTGGGGAAACAGAGAAGAGCCTTCCTAGCTTCGGAAAAGTTAGATTTGGATGTTCGGACACGAATTCTGCGTTTGGCAGAGGTAACACTAGTAGCTCTGAACTTGGTCCTCCGAATGGCACTCGCGTATTTTCTCGTAAGAGAAACGTGGAAGGAAACACACCTGCAGTTCATTCTGACGTTTCCATGGTAAAAGAAGAGAAGGTACCTCCAGGGAAACAACTCGAGAGTGGATCCCATATATGCAACGATGGACACGACGATAATGGTCAGACAGCTTTACCACAGTCTTTGCCCAGGGACTCGAAACCTTTGTTGAAGTTCAAATTTAAGAAACGTCCCCTCGAAAATCAAATTTCTTGTCACGAGGAAGAAAAAAGTTCTGTCAAAGGGCAACGGTCGAAACGAAAAAGACCATCGCCCTTGATGGAGAAAATATCGTTCAATGAAGTCGACGACTTGGCTCGGTCTCATCAAGATAATTTATTGGATGAGATCATGGACGCTAATTGGATTCTCAAAAAATTGGGTAAAGATGCAATAGGAAAGAGGGTTGAAGTTCAACACCCAACAGACAAGTCATGGTGAGTTTTATTTTTCTAATATGCTCGAAAACCAGATTAGTTTATACGTTCGGAAAACAATTGGCTAACCAAATCCCGAGCGATCTGTTGGCCTTAGAGATAAATATTTTGCATCACTAATTTGCCATATTACATTTGATATGATGATCAGGCAGAAAGGAGTGGTTTGTGACATGATCGATGGTACGTCAACGTTATCTGTCACCCTCGATGATGATAGAGTAAAAACATTGGAACTCGGGAAGCAAGGAATTCGCCTCGTTCCTCTTAAGCAAAAGAGGTCGAAATCATGAAGGTGAAACCTGTCCCCTTAATTATACCATGTTGGGGTTTTCTTTCCCAGTATATATGCAGCGTGTATGGAGACGATTCTTTCGAGGACTCGAAGGAGAGAGTGAACTCGAGCATTTCATGGAGGCCGATCCTCGGTAGGCAGTCTCTTCGAATCAGTTCTCCCTTGTAGTTGTTTTAAGCTGTCTGTCATTTTGCTAAGATTATAAAGTTTAAGTTTAAGTTTTAGGATACCATTGGATGGATGGGACTCTTGTTCAGTGAAACGACCAAGTAGTTGATCGATTGTGAAAATACATTGACGAACTAGGAGACACATTTTATTTAAAATTTTAAAATGTCAACATGAGCATAGCTCAATTAATTATGATATTAGTAAATTATTAAAAGATCATAGATTCAAATCTCTATCTTTTATGAAATAGAGATTCGAACCTCTGACCTCTTCTATAACTTACCAATATCTCTAACCAATTGAACTATACTCAAGTTGATACTATTTTTTGTTATTTATATTATATGAAAGAGATCATTCCTAAGTTACAAATATTATATATTAAATTACTATTTTTATCTATATAATTTTAGTTTCATTATACTTATATTTTAAAATTTAAAATTTAATTTAAATAATTCCAGTTAATTGTTAATTTAATATTATTATTATTATTTTTTACAGTTAATATTGGTTATTTCTCCTCTATAAATTTTGGAAACATATTGAATTTTTTTTTTTTTAAAAAATTTTGTAATGGTAACTTTCTGATTTTAATTCATATATATATTTTTTTAACAAAATTTAAATAATAATAATTTTTATGAAATAAGAGGAACAGGTGAAAATGCGGATAGAGACATTTTTTGAAAATCAACGATAAACTAACTAAAATATAAAACGTATAATTTAAGTAAAAAAAAAAAAAAGAGAATAAATACATAAATCAGTTTGCTTGAGAAATACGAACCCAAATCTGAACTCCTCTCATGTAGCTCTCTGAGATTCTCTCTTCATACCATCGGAAAAATTTGCCGCCATGGGTTCACAGAACGACGGCGACGTTAGTTGCAGTCCTTCATGGTGCCCCGACGCAAACTGGACGGTCGCCGGTGGCTGTTTGGAGAATACAGTCGTCTATGAATCGTTCTACTCTCCGATCGACGAGGAGGAGACGGTCGAATTCGGCCCCAAGTCGCCTCTTGTTCTGTGCCGTCCCTCACCGGAGTCTGGTCCATGCGAGATTACTCGTGAGTTCTTAAGTCCTCTCTCTCATCTGATTGTTTGGTTTGATATTGTTTTTTGAGTGATTTCAAGTGCTGAGTTCCGTGGAGGTTTCTCGAAAAAAATTAGGATCATAGAATGATACTACGAAAATTGCATTAAGAAACGACAGGTTTTTCATTAATTTATGTAGGTTGTTTCACCTTCTGTTTTATTTTTGCAAGAAAGTGACTATCAACGACAATCTTAGGGCTGTAAGACTAAGTATAGAATTGGTGATTATAAGTCAAGATTAGTGGTGGCTTAAAGCTATCTGATTTGATTTAGTTATCAAAGACGGGAAGAGTGATCCTTTTCATGGTATAACAGTTTCCGTTTACTGGCAGTTGGATGAACTTGGCAATTTATTGTTTATCAAGTCACTTGTCAGTTTTTTTCCAGCTTGTTTGCTCCCATATTTTAATTAAACATTGAGTTGGCCACATTGAGAATTTCAGATTTTCAGTGATGCCTCTTGAAGGGGTAACTAAAGATCATGGTTTGCAGTTCGTTTTGCGGAAAAGCACGAGATCCGGCAGGTTTATGTTAGAAGCACCGCTCGAGTCTATGAGATGTACTGCGGTACCTCTTCTCAAAATGAAAATGAATATTTGTGTACTGTCCGCTGTGGTGCTGCTTTGAGAGACGAAGAAGTGCTTCACACAAATGGTATTGATGATGACTCTGCACGTATAAATGGGTCTAATGGAATTGTGACTGAAGCCAATACACAACGTGGCAGTAACTTGAACATGAATGAAGATGACTGGGTTGAAGTTAAAGCTCCCGATGGCCTAGCCCTCGATCATAAAAACAATTCTTCTATAATCACGTCTGGTGGAGACTCATTGAGGATGATTAAGCAGGTGTGTTACATTGATCTCACTTATATTTCATTGACAAAAAGCTCATTCTATCCTTTCCATATGTTATTTGGATTCTCATGATGCAATGGTGTTCTCTCCTTAAAGTTCCCAGATCTTAGTTTTCCAACCATTTTAACAAGCGATCGATCTGAGATGTAAGGTTAACTGGTGCGTACTTGGATTAATCTCAAATGACAATAGTTGACCTTGCAACATTTTCCCACTGGTTACTGTCTAATTCATGGTTGTTGAATTGGAATATTTTATTTGAAGATAGTAATGTAGATGACCAAAGTGTTTATGTAAGAATGTGCCATTAGTTCCTAGATTTGTTGAGTCCCCTAAATCTTGGAAGGGATGTGTAATGCCCAAGCCCACCGCTAGCAGATATTGTCCTCTTTGGACTTTCCCTTTTGGGTTTACCCTCAAGGTTTTTAAAACGCATCTGTTAGGAGAGGTTTCCACACTTTTATAAAGGGTGTTTCGTTCTCCTCTCCAATCAATGTGGGATCTTTACAGGATGTTACCATTGGACTTAAAATGTCAATGCTTGGTGATATTTGATACGTGTTTCTTTTTAGTTGCATTCCATTTATTAATGTTCACATTGCTGACTTTAGTCCTGATGAATGACTACTGAGGAGGAAGGAAACTAATTGTGTACATGGATGAATCCTACCAAAGAAAGGAAGGAAGGTTTAAATTTAAATTGCGAAGTAGTAGGAAAAGGTCAAGATATCTAAACTTGTACCTTTATGGACAAAATCTACCAAGAAGATTCACACTGCAAATTATAGAGACAGAAAAATTCTGAATATCTAAATGGTGATCTAAATCTGTTTTTATGAATGCTTTATTGATGAAGCATTTTTTTCCCAGGACTTTTATGAGGCTACAGCAGAAATAACGGATGCAAATCCTTGCACATCTCTTACAATCCGTCTTCTGTCACTTCAGAATAAAAGTATTGTATATGTAGATGAAATCTATGTGTTTGCCAATCCCGTTGATTTAGAGGAAGAGAGCCCAGTGATGAACACAGCTCAAAGTTCTCAAAGTTCTTTGATGTCCATGCTTGTCCCAACCCTTCTGCAGTTATCTAAAACTACTGAAAGTAGTAAGAGCAATGGTAGCCGTAATTCTAATGAGGGAATTCATATATTAACCAAGATTGGGTCAAATGCTCTGGATTCAACCGATAGTGTAACTGGACTTGAGCAGGAAGGAAAATCTTGTGTAACTGTTGATGATGAAGTGGAATTTCATGAAGAAAAAGAGTGTGACAGATCTGTACGTCAGCCTGAGGTGCATCTACAAGTTCCTGTTACAGAGAGAATGCACAATGAACCACTTCGTCGAATTGAAAACGTTTTGGGTCAGCTTGTTTCTCGAATGGACAGAATAGAGAATTGTTTTTTAAGGTTTGAAGAAAATATGCTAAAACCCATTAACAGCATTGAAGGGAGGCTTAAGCAGGTTGAGCAGCAACTTGAAGTTGTAACTAAGACGTCACATGGTTCAGAATGGCCATCTTGCTACAGAATGTCTGCTCCGAGCTTTTCTGCTATCGAGTCAGCATCTAACTCCTTCTATAACAGTTGGAACGATCATCCCAGTTGCGGACCAGATCAAAAGGAACTACGTTCAGGTACATCACCCATTGCACTTGATGTATCCAGCTCAGGGGGTTCGTCACTGATGCGTCCAAGTCTTGTGGTAACTGCTCCTGAGTTTTCAAACGTTGATGATTATGATCAGGGGAATGTTGTGATTGCTGCTGCTGAGTTTTCGAATGGAAATGATGACAGCCAAGAGAATCTAACCCTGGAGGTTGTGGTGGATTCTTCAAAGAGTAAACCAAAGCCATCAATCGATGATGTATTAGCATCTGCTCTCGCTCAGTTCGCGTTATCATCATCTTCAATCAGCATTCCAGAACATTCAAAAACTGTAACTGTTAGACCTCCAGACCTTTCAAATGAAGATGGAAACAATCACAAGAAATCTTTGTCATGCGACCTGTCTGAAACCAGAATAGATCATATAAGCTGTTCCCAAGAAATGGATAACACACAATGCACAGCAAATTCTGCTTCACCCTCTCTGTCTTCTACCAATTGCAGGAATTCGAGCCCTTCCCGGCATGATTATTCTTCCAAAATTGCTGATGGAGATGACAAACCAGTTCTCATGAGCCGGGAACGCAAGTATGAGAGCGCCGATGGTGGTCTCGGAGCTCCTTTAGATGAACAAAGTGCTAAAGGAATGGAGGAACTTGGAAATGTGGAAGTTATTGATGAAACAAGTGAAGATTATCTTTCAGAGAAGAGAATTCCCATCCACACTCTTCATCATCATCCCAAAAATGACGCAGATAGAACTAATGCCAACGCGGATACAAAAGGAAGCTGCGACATAGACATAGTACACGATGTTCTCGGATTTTCTCGTGACACATCCATTGTGAACTTCGAGATTCCAATCCTGGATGTAAGCTTCACCTCCATTGCAGATTCATATTCCGACAATGCCCTCAAAGACCTTCTGGGGGACATGGCCGAATCGAGTTATAGAGCTTCTAATCCAAAGGAACGTGACGATGTTACTCCCAATGGCGAGCAACGTGATCTCATTTTGGTTGAGGAAGAAGGTCAGGAGAACGCTAGCTCAACAAATGGCCCCATATCGGTTGATATGAACTACTATACCATCATGAGCGACCCTGTAATTGGTGATGGTGAAAATCTGCGGGATTACTGCAACAATTCAGTCATCTGGAGTCTTATATGATTAATTTCTGGTATATTTCTTATATGATGTGTGTATTTGTAAATACATCTTTTTTAGCCCGCAAGTAATTTTAGTCTATCTCGATTTGCTTCTTTTTTCCTAATTTCTTCGTTAATTTTTAATAAGAAATAGTTCTTTTTGGGTGGTATTTTTTAAGTTTTGAAAAAAATTTAGTGATATTTTTCGAGTCTTTAATTTCTTTTTAAAAATATTATTGAAATTTTAGAAAGTTTTAAGCATTTGAGATTTTTTTTTATAAAAAAATTTATTTTTGAGGTAAAGTTGAAAGTTTGATGTATTTTTATTAATATAATAATTTTGGAAGTAGATCCGCCTTCGAGAATTAATTTAAAAATATCCATGATTGTTGCGTTGATTGACTTGTCTTGCCTTTCTGTATATCCGCTTCTATTACAAAATTTACAGCGAAAGTTAAGGATTCGATACTCATTAATTGTATGACCACTTATATTGCAGTGAAATTTTGAATATTTTGTTTTTTCTGTCACTTTTATAGACATAGAAGTTACCTGATGCTGCATCTCTTCGTGTATAAATAATGATTAGGCTTGGCTCACATTAGGTAATGGATGATAGGTTTAGAAGTTATAATAGAAGTTACATGACGTTGCATCTCTCTTGTACAAGCTTGACTCACATAAGGTAATAGATCAGGCTTGACTCACATTAGGTAATAGATCTTGTACAAGTAATGAATAAGCTTGCTTCAAATTAGATAATAAAGTCATCATAATACGTTAGATCTGACCCACATTTTTGTTTTAGAAAAATTGAAGTATACTTTGGGTTATATGGAAATTTGTTTTTTTTTTTTAAATGAAAATGAGAATAATATTGTAAATTTATTAAACGATAATTCCAATATAATTTGAAAATAGGGAGAGAAAATGAATTAAACCGCGCAACGCAAAACATAAGAAACTTTCGACCGCGAGATGAGTGTGGAGAATTGAAATTCAGCTTTCCGGCGGAGGCTGGGCCGCATCTCGAAGCTTTTCTGGTAGCGAGTTGAAGGAAAAGATCGAAACCCTGAATTCTTCTGATTTCATCTGAAGAAGAGAGGAAGAAGCAAATGGAAGCCGCCGTGGTCGACCCTGGCTCCAAGCTTCTCAAAGCCGGACCTGCCATACCGGATCAGGCTCCCTCTATGGTATTTTGCTTCAACTGCTTTTCTTTTTTTCTTTTCTATCTGCCTGGATTTGTATTCCACCGCTGCGAACGTTTGAATGCAAATTCTGCACTTCAATTGTCGACGATTATTGAAAAGTGTTAAATTAATAGCTATTTCCCTGAGGAACCATTCGCAAAGGGCTTTTTCTTTTTCTTCAAGAGACTAGCGGAATGGTGTGAGAAGGTTGTTCAGAATTGAAGCTGAGTACTCCTTGGTTCTTGGTTAGGTTAGGGAAGTCGTAAGCTGAGTGTTGTAAACATAGAGTTTCATACTACTTTACATTGGAAATGATTTTCTTTTTTTAATTGGAAAACGGTTTTTAGTTGGGGATTTTTCTCTTAATTCTTCTTAATCTCTCTCCACATGTCTCAGATAATTCCTACCCATATGAAACGAATGCCCGAGGATGGATCAGTAACTGAGAATTCACAATTTGAGGACGTGACTGTTGATCCGGTTGTCCGGGGGTTCATTAAGGATTGGGATGCTATGGAGGATTTGTTGCACCATGTTTTATATACTGGACTTGGATGGGAAATTGGCAATGAAGGACAGATATTGTTTACAGATCCACTTTCTACCCCCAAGGTCGGTCTCAGTTAATTTCACTATTTATTACTCAAAAGCAAATAATGGTATTCTTTTCATTAAGAATCAGTGGCTTCATCTTTCTACCAATTCTTAGTAATTGCATCATTACTATATATTTTACGCTGATTTGAATAAGTGATTTTTCTAAAGGTAGTGTTAGATGCGAGATGATACCATTCGTAGTTATAACCTAATTTTGTTGTGTATTTATTGTCTATTCAAATCCTCCAAAGGCTTCTATTTTTGTGTGAGGTAAACCATCATCTCTCTAGGTCTGTGATTGATCCATATAGGCCAACAATAGACAATACCTCCCCCTTGAACATGGCTAACAAATTTCATGGGACTCTTCTCTACTCTTGAAAGCGCAAGATTTCTCAGAATTTTAAATTTTAATGGTAGTTCACTAAGAATTCTTTTGGTTATGGAGGACCCAACTACCACAATTAGTATGCGTCATATAGCAAGAGTAATTTTGAACATGTGGACCATCTATGCAAAGGTGGTGAAGAAAGAGCATCAATTGATCTTATCAAAAAAAACAAAAAAAAAAAAACAAAACAAAAAAAAAAGAAGAAAAGAGCATCAATTGATAGAAAAATACTTGCTTCCCCTTGGGGTTATACTGTACTTGAAAGAAATACATACACGTGTGCATGTTTTCTTCTCTTCGAGGAAAATGAGAGACATTCTGTTTTCCAGGCTATCAGAGAACAGTTGGTGCAATTGATGTTTGAGACATTCAACATCTCAGGATTTTATGCATCTGAACAAGCTGTATTGTCACTTTATGCTGTAGGGCGTATATCGGGATGCACTGTTGATATCGGACATGGGAAAATAGGTACATGACCCACATCTGAACAGATCCTTACTAGAGCTTATGGCCTGTATTTTTGTCAAATATTTATCAACTTCTGTGGAATTCATATCCTTGCTTTTTTCAATGAATAGTTTTGCCAATGGATGTTCGAATTTATTTATATAATATACAAAGCAAGGTATTAACTTGTTCCTTAGATAGAAGGATATAAAGATAGAGATCGTGCATTATATCTTTTAAAATTATAACTTACGAACATTACCTAGTTTGGGTTATGTGGTTGGTTATAATGTTTTGTAGTCATGCAAATAAGAAATGCAATGTTGTACCTGTTACTCATAGCTACATTACATAAACAAGGTAGGTCCTGTGAGCATGTTCAAATAAAAAAAATTGAGAGGCAGTGGTCATTTTGACACATGAGTATAATGATGAACAGGGTATGAGGTGGCTTTATGATTAAATTCTCAGCCTTGCAACAGATTCTCAGGTTAATTTGGCTCCCGTACTTACTCATCATGTTGGACTTGTCTTGTTCCTTATTATTTCCTCAGAAAGACACATAATTTCTTACAAGGCACCCTTCCAAACTTTAATATCACCAAACAACTTTCTTTTACCTTTACTTGAAAGTTCCAAGATGTGGTTTAAAAATATCATCTCTAATATTTTTCTTTAACCATTTCAAGCTTTCAATACAAGAAGCATAATTATTGTCTATATTGCCTTTTGGCTTCATGACCAGATATTGCACCAGTAATCGAAGGAGCTGTTCATCACATTGCGTCACGAAGACTTGAAATTGGAGGCATTGATTTGACAAGGTTGCTTGCTCAAGAACTTGGAAAATCTCGCCCAATGGTGAATATCAGCACAGCTGATGTTGAGAAAATAAAAGAATTGTTTACTTGTTGTGCTGAAGACGAGTTGGCTTATTCGAAAATTGGAGATTCATGCCAGCTCGAAACACACACCCTTCCCGATGGGCAGGTTTGTATTTGGATTTGCATCTCAATAATTGTTGTTTTACTAGACCTAAGTATGTCTTTATGCATGTGCTAACAGTAACTGATTGTTGAGCTGATTTAGTTGGGGGTAGAAAGCAAAAGAGGGGGCCGTGCGTATGCTGAGTTGAGTTGCAAGTGGCAACAGCTTATTAAGAAAAATTAAGTAAAATTTCTATGCAGGCTTAGGCTTATTAGGCTTGTGTATGTGGTGGTTCTACTCGCAGCATCTTGTGAAGACGTATGAAGTAAAATATCTAACCAGGCCTTGGCTTATCAGGCCGTGAGGGTGTATGCTTAGAGAGTTGCTTGGACTAATCAATGCAAACACTGATATTTATGTTTTAATCTAGGCCATAAGAGTTTCATTTATGGGTTATAGTAATTATAACTTTAATCCCGTTCTTTCCTAAATGTTTCAGATTTACTCTGCAAAGTTCCAATTTCTCAAGTCATCACATTCAGTCTCACAAGTACCATGTTATTTCTAATAATGGGAATCCATAATTAAATGATTTACTGCTTGGATATGAATGAGGAACATGAAGATGGACGACTCTAGCAAATATTATAGAAGATTAGGGGAACGGTACATGTATTTCAAATCATTGTGTCTCCTTTCTCCTCTGATGATTAAAATGCAACCTAAGAAGCACATATGCAATAACAAGTCGAGGATACGACACATGGACACAATGACATGTCATTTTGAAAAAAGCTAGGACACAAACATGACAATTACACCTTTATTAAATATACATTTTTTTAAATTTATTTCATTTTTATACTGAAAGGAAATTCAAAGTCTATTAGTTTATGTGTTTATAGTATTTCATTCTATTTATGTGTTTATATGTTTAACAAAGTAGGTTCAAGTGTTTTATACGCTGGCTAATGTTGGACTCATATTCACTTTATACAACTAGTATCAAATACTGTCTATTGGGCTAACAAATGTTTCATATGTGTCCAAGTGACAGATATGGACACATTAACCAAACTAAAGTGTCTATGCTTCTTTGGTTGCAACTAATTGTTTTATATTTAATTTTTTGCCTCATTGCCTTCTACTGTCGTGAATCGTGTCTGGATTGAGTGTCTGTGAATAATCATTTCGCGGAAGATTTTAAAGTGTTTGTCCTTTTTTTTTCTTTTGAGCAAAAAATATCTAGGGTTGGGGAACCCCTAAACTCAAGAGAAGGAAGTAAAGTCTATTTTTCTTTTTAAAAGAAGTTTATAGATGAAGAATACTTGGATTGTATGATAACCAGACATTTGAAATGAGTACATACATGATTTTGAAACACTCAATCAACTACTTAAACTTAATGCTTTAATTATCTTGCCTATCTGTTGTCTGGTTTCAACTCCACGTAATGGTCAGTACATTTATCCGTAAGTATTTATTCTCATGTCTTCGGAATTTGCCTTATAGACTTATAGTTTCCTC